ATGGTCAATCTCAATCTATTTATTTAAATGCCTTTATTAATTTAATTAGATAATTAGGGTAAATAACAAACATACACCAAATATGCACAATAAATTCTCACAAAATTACAGTAGCTTTCTAGTGCTTACAATAGACTACTATGAAAATGTCATACCATTTTCACATGTATAACATCTTATGCAAAAATGACAAGCTAGCAAGGGTTATTTTAGTGAAAATAGAAAACCCTATAGAAAAGTGTCAAACAACAGATTCTATATTTTTTCTAGCTTCATATTAATGCCATTATACTGTACAAAATTTTTCATATCAATATGTTACATATTTTTATCCCTATAATTTTCCTGAGAAATTACTATTTATTAATAGATAAATAGAAAGATCACATTTCAATCTAGTTTACAGCAATATTAATATTTTTCCTAGCTAGAATATGTCAATACAAAACCAACAAAATTGGAATCACAATTTTACCATTTTTCTAGCTCAAGATATCTAATTTACAAGATTGTAAACATTCAAAATGCATTTATCTAAACACATTTAAATATCCAATAAAAATATCAGAAACTATACATATCATATTTTTATAAAATACAACACTTCCTAAGGAACACTACAAAATTTGGTTCACAAGATTTGGAGCTCTACAACTCAACTTATCATTTTTCAAATTTGCACACAAAACTGAAAATAAATGAACTATCTTTCATGACTGAGCCACTGACAGTCAGGACCCACGCATCAGACATGCCTGCGTGTCAGCGATGGCAAAAATAGAGGAGCGCGCGGAACGGTGCTATCTCGCCGGCGGTGACCTCTCCCGCGATGGCACCGCGATGGCACCGCACTACGGTGACCCCCGCGACCTTGCGCACCCATTGAGCTACTAAGTTGGGCCTATTGCCCGCGCCAACGACGATGGCGGCGTCAATGGCGGCATGGCGGTGCGGATAGACGGCAATACGCCGGAGGTGACCGTGATGACTCGATCTAGGGCTCGGCCAAGCATATACAGGCTACGGTGAACCTATTGCGCACTCAAACATGGCACTCGGTGGTCGTAGTTGGCCAGACCACGGTGACGGGCCACGCCGGCGGAACGCCGACGAAGCCGAACGCGGCACGGAAGCCTTACCGTGCGCGGCTAGTGAGCAATGTGAGCGCGGTGAGATCGCTGGGATGATAGCAAAGTTGCTGCGGTGGTGGAGAAGCGATTAGACGTGGCGCAAGGCGAGCGGGGTGGCCGGCAATGGTGATGGCGCGAGCTCGGCACTGCTGCGGCTGCTGCGAACCAAGGCGGAAGCGAACGAAGCAGCAAGAAATGAAATGTGAGCGCGGGGCGTCACAGACGAGCACTGGGTAGGGTGAAGGCATGCTCTGGCTTGGCATGGCCTGGCTGGTCAGGGCAATGGCGACGCGCGGCCTCAATCGGCTCCACGCGGCATTCGGCCATTAGGCCCGTGATCCCAGCCTGACGATGTGATTTGGTTGCAATCAAACTCCTAATCCATAGATTATTAGTGCAAACAATCTGAACCAGAGTGGTAGACCTACATACCAGCTACAATAATTCTTAAGAAACCTTCTCCTAATTCTCAACGATTAGGGAGTAAAATCAGCCCAAAGTTAAGCTCGTCACACTGTCAGTCCAAAATGACTTAGCGAAATTTTTGTTTTTGAACAACAGCAAAATGTTGAATCTTGTGAGCTCAAAAATACTAAGCTATGCACATAATTAGCTCATGACCCAAAAATAAAAGTTGTTCCTCTCATCAAGTACTACAACTTTTCTTTAGTGCACACATCCATGCAAAGTCTCTATCATATCGTTCAAACTAGGTCAAACCTACTACATTTAAATGATGACTAACACTTAAATCATGACTTAGTGACCAAATTAGCCCTAGCCATGAATATCAAAGTTGTTCATAATGACATTCTAAACATGTTTAAGCTATTCCTAAGGTCACACAAACATTTCATACATTGGTTACACATTTCACTTTCCAGGTCAACATACATAGCATTACTTAAGAACTTAATCATGTAAAGTGATCTTCATGAACAATGTTCCACTAGTCATCCTAAGTGTGGCTAAGATGTTTTAGTGATTCACATCAACCATTTACATATATTCACTCATGATCATAAACATATACAAAGAAAACATAAAATAACAAGCATGTTGCATATGTTTCAATCATATGTTTCAAATATAAAAGCTTAAATATGAATGCTTGATGCTCATGCTCATGCAATGCAATTCAAATTATGCAAGCTTAACACCTAGGGTGTTACACAAACTACCCTTTTGTTCGAGTAGGAAGGAGTTTCACCATATGATAGTAAACAAAAAGAGAGGTAGTAGTGCGTTGGGAGTATACCCTAGAGATAATCATAGAGATGATTATGTTGCCTTGTATCCATGATATATTATGAGTTCATTGAATTTCCATTAAAGACAACCTGTATCGATTAGCAATTATGTGAATTGTTTGTGAAACTCTTTTACTTGTATGGTTATTCTAATGTTGTCCCTGGTCAGAGTTCGTGTGAGGACACACATTGAATAATGAATCAGCACATTATTAGTTGATGACTGTGTTTCACAAGTCATAGACATGAAGATGTCAAACTAATAATGTGGGCACATGTATGACATGGGGCTGGACTGACCCAACGTGAGATGTTGTTATTATCTCTATTCATATCATGTACGTTATGTCCTTAGACTTGAGATTGTTGTATGTATTCAAGATGTGAAACGACCTACTTAGGGACTATCAAACGCTACTCCGTAACAGGGTAGTTATAAAGGTGGTTTTCGGGTTTGTCGGGAAACATACTATGAGACATAGACAATCAAGATGGAATTTGCCCCTCTCTATATGAGAGGGATATCACTGGATCACTCTAATGATTAGATCAAGAAATGCATGGCCATGCTTGGGTTAAGTGTTAACCTATACGTTGGACCAAATATCGTGAGGCAAGGGAATAACAAGTATGTGGTTTTGTGGTGGTTCGTCTGATATGATCTTTGCGTACGCATAGGAGTTGACATGCCTTGCTAGAGGCCGCTATCAACAAATGGCCGAGTAGGAGTACTTGGGCCATGTCTATGTGTGTGTGAATCCATAGGGTCGCACGCTTAAGGGGCTGGAAGCCTAATTCAGATTGGATCCGAGTTAGACAAGGCTTAGGGTTACTAATGGGCCTCCAACTCGGGAACTCATTAGGGACGCCTATAAATAAGTGGGGTGGGCAACAGGGCTAGGGATTCCCCATGCCTTTTTGGCAGTAGCCGCCGCCGCCCATCCTACGCCCGCGCCTGCTGCTCCTTGCGGACCTAGCAGTCCGGAGGCGCGATGCTTCCTCCCTGTACGTGTGGATACCTTGGAGGTGCTACATCTGGAGCACAAGGACGAACTGCATGAAGGGGAAGGACGTACGGATGACCTCGCAACTACACGGCACTGCTACGACGCGTACGACTACATCTAGTCGCTTCCGCTGCACCTGCGCGTCTAGTGGTAATCCCGTGATCTATAACTAGCAGTAGATCCTGGTTTATGAGGTCGAATTTTTTGTTTTCCGGCTAGCGTAGCATCCTCATAACCCTACAGTGGTATCAGAGCCGTTACTACGTGGTTATAGGTTCGGATGAGTGCGTATGGAGATATGCGCGTTTGTAGATGAGTCTCTAATCTTGGTTCGTGATTTTACCGTGTTGGTCTTGTAATGATCTACTCATACCGGTCGGAATTCCGCCAACCGAGTTAAGTGATACATGTAAATCCAGTCATGGCAAGATGGAGATCAATCAGATTGATCGAATCGAACCTAGGTCAAGTGCCGAGCGCATGCGATGCGCAACGGTGATAGATTGGATCTATTGCCAGGCGCCGGGGTGCAAGAAAAGTGCTGTTTGGTAAAACAACCATAACTTTTGCATACGACCTCGGATTGAGATGAATTTTATATGAAAATTGTAGAGAAAAAATTTTTACATCCGATTCTCATAGCCTTTGGCAGTTTTGCTGAAATTAGATTTGCGAAAAACGGCCGGGAAGATGGTGTTTTGGGCGTTTTAAGATTAGACGTCGGAATCGGTTAACTCTGTTTTGCAGGAACTTACGACTGGTATAGCCCTTATGTGTATGTGATGCATGTATGTAATTAATTCATGGCTTGCATGTCATGAGCATGACAATATGGTTGGAGCCACAAAGATATTGTCAATTTGATGTAATGGCCTGCGTGCCAAACTGTAATGATCCTATCCGCGACTATGTAATTTTCTTCACTGCCTTGCGTTAGTGATAGCTAGTCTCGGTGGACTCATCACTAAAGGATGGCATACATGGATCATGGAGATGGAGATCATCATGAGGAACAGTTCGATGTAGATGGAGGTCCCCAAAGGAACAATGGGCTATACCATGTCATATATGTGTTAATGTCGTTCTTACTATGTTCTACTTTCACATGCGATAATGTTTTTGTCTACATGCGATGGTGAAGTAGAACGATCCCTCGGCAATGTTTAAGTTAAAATGCTTCCCCAAACCTTGCACTATCAAGTGTCTTGTACAATCGGTGGTGGGTCTATGAAATTAGGGCGCCACTGATTTTCCATGACTAGACAGGTTCGTATCGGATACTTACAGCAGAAGGGTTGGTTACTTGAACAAGGTCATCCTAACGGTTAGGGACCTTGGAGCATGAGTAGTTGGGCACCAAAGCATAGAGATGCTACCCAACAACAAGAGTCATATGTGATATGATTAGCAAAGAGTTTCTTACCAATCTACCATGTCTTCTAGCGGTGATGCTAAAGCTCACTAGTAGACTTGTTAGTTGTGGGTCTTGAATCACTAAGTTTTAAGAGAGGGATATTGATTTTAGTGGGAGTAGATTCTATTAAAGGTTTAATATTGTTTACTCTGTCTTGGATACATTGTCTTAGTATTTTGCATTACTTTGTTGTAGATAAATGGCGCTTAGCAATCAACCATTTACTTTGCGTTCAATTCTTGAGAAAGATAAGTTGAATGGAACAAACTATGCGGATTGGATCCGCAACCTGAGAATTGTTCTCAGGGCTGAGAAAAAGGAAGAAATTCTAGACACCCCATACCACAAGAGCCTGCTGATAATGCACCTGTTGCAGAGAAAAACACTTACAAAAGAGCATGTGATGCTGATCTTGAAGTGAGTTGCCTTATGCTTGCTTGTATGGAACCAGATCTGCAGCTGCAGTTTGACAATAACCATGCAGCGCACGATATGATCGTGGAGCTCAATGATATGTTCCAGACTCAAGCCAGGACTGAAAGGTTCAAGGTCTCAAAGGCTTTTGCTGAAACCAAGCTAGCAGAGGGTGCAACAGTTGGGCCACATGTGATCAAAATGGTTGGTTACACTCAGAGGTTGGAGAAGCTAGGCTTCCCAATTGGCCCTGAATTAGCTAATGATTTTATTCTCGCGTCTCTTCCGCCCAGCTATGGAAATTTCGTTGCGAACTACCATATGCATGGGGCGGAGAAGGGCTTGAATGAATTATGTGACATGCTTAAAATAGCAGAGGCTGATATCAAGAAAGGTGCTGGCAGTAGCCATGTGATGGTAGTCCAAAACAAGCCTAAGTTTAAGAAGAAGGGCAATTCTTGGAAGAAGAAAAAGGGCAAGGCTAAAGATGAGATCTCTAAGCCAAACCCACCTGCGCCCAAGGCTGGACCAGCTGTTGATGTTGAGTGCTTTCATTGTCATGGGAAAGGTCACTGGAAGAGGAACTGCAAGATGTACCTGGAATCCATAAAGGATCGCGGCAGTAAAGGTACTCCCGCAGCTTGTACACTTGTTGTTTATATTACGGACATTTTCCTTGCTAATTCTTATATTAATTCTTGGGTATTTGATACCAGATCGGTTGCTCATATTTGCAATACGATGCAGGGAATGATAAGAAGTAGAAGCCTGGAAAAGGGAGAAGTTGATTTCCGCATGGGCAATAATGCAAGAGTTGCTGCGTTGAACATCGGGACGATGCAACTCCACCTCCCATCAGGATTTATTATGGAGTTGAATAATTGTTATTTTGTTCCTAGTTTAAGTCGAAACATTGTGTCACCTTCATGTTTGATGAAGGATGGTTATTCATTTGTGAGTAAAGACAATGGTTGTGTGATCTCTAAAAATGGCATGTTTGTGGCTTCTGCATCCATTGTGAATGGGTTATTTATTTTAAATCTTGAAGATGCTCCTGTCTATAATATAAGTGCTAAAAGGCTTCGGCTTAATGAGTTAAGTCCCACCTATATGTGGCATTGTTGTTTAGGTCATATAAGTGAGAATCGCATGAAGAGGCTCCATTCTGATGGGCTTTTAACTTCGTTTGATTTTGAATCATACGAGACATGTGAGGCTTGCTTGCTGGGCAAGATGACCAAGACGCCTTTCATAGGTTTTCCTGAGAGGGCGACAGACTTGCTGGAACTCATACATACTGCTGTGTGCGGACCAATGAGTACGACAGCAAGAGGGGGATTCCAATACTTCATAACCTTCACTGATGACTTTAGTAGATATGGCTATGTCTACTTGATGAGACATAAGTCTGAGACATTTGAAAAGTTCAAGGAGTTTCAGAGTGAAGTAGAGAATCAACGTGGCAAGAAAATTAAGGCTTTGCGATCTGATCATGGAGGCGAATATTTGAGCCACGAGTTTAGCAATCATCTAAAGAGTTGCGGAATTGTTCCACAGCTTACGCCGTCTAGAATGCCTCAGAGAAATGGCGTGTCCGAGCGGCATAATTGGACTTTGTTGGACATGGTTCGGTCTATGATGAGCCAGTCAGACCTACCGTTATCATTTTAGGGATACGCTCTAGAAACAGCCGCTTTCACATTGAATAGGGTACCGTCTAAGTCAGTAGTTAAGACACCACATGAGATGTGGACTGGTAAGAGTCCAAGTTTGTCTTTTCTAAAAATTTGGGGTTGTGAAGTTTATGTCAAACGACTTATGACAGATAAACTAACACCCAAGTCAGACAAATGCTTTTTCGTGGGATATCCGAAGGAAACTTTAGGGTATTACTTTTACAACCGATCAGAGGGCAAAGTGTTTGTTGCTTAGAATGGTGTTTTCTTAGAGAAAGAGTTTCTCAAAAGAGAGAAAAGTGGACAGAAGGTGTATCTTGAAGAAGTTCAAGATGAGCCAGTTAGGAAGGACTCTACGAGTGATGCTAATGTAGCCGAACAAGTTGAGATACCCGTGGCAATAGAAACACCACCACAACCATGAAGGTCAGCAAGAATCCATGAGTTGCGTGGGGATTTGTTATTGTTAGACGATAACGAACCTGCGACTTATGCGGAAGCAATGATGGACCCAGATTCTGAGAAATGGCAAAGTGCCATGAGATCCGAGATAGATTCCATGGGAAACAATCAAGTTTGGACCTTGGTTGACCCGCCTGATGGGGTTAGACCCATAGAGTGCAAATGGATCTATAAAAAGAAAAAGGATATGGATGGAAACGTTCACGTCTATAAAGCTCGACTTGTTGCAAAGGGTTCTCAGCAAGTTCAAGGAATTGACTATGACGAGACTTTCTCGCCGGTAGCGATGCTTAAATCTATCCGGATCATTCTAGCAATAGCTGCTTATTTCGACTATGAGATATGGCAGATGGATGTTAAAACAACCTTTCTAAATGGAAATTTGGATGAGGACATGTATATGATACATCTCGAAGGTTTTGTTGATCCAAACAATGCTGGAAAAATTTGTAAGCTTTAGAAATCCATTTATGGATTAAAGCAAGCATCTCGGAGTTGGAACATTCATTTTGATGAAGTGGTCAAAGGGTTTGGCATCCGTCAGAATGAAGAAGAACCTTGTGTTTACAAGAAGGAAAGTGGGAGCGCTGTTGTATTTTTGATCTTATATGTGGATGACATATTATTGATTGGGAATGACATTCCTATGCTGCAATCCGTAAAGACTTCACTGAATAATAATTTTTCTATGAAGGATTTAGGAGAAGCAGCATACATTTTGGGCATCAAGATCTATAGAGATAGATCGAAGAGGCTTATAGGATTAAGCCAAGATACGTACATTGACAAGGTGTTGAAATGGTTCAACATGGAACAGTCCAAGAAAGGGTTCTTGCCTATGTCACATGGTATGCGCTTTAGCGATAAACAGTGTCCTTCAACAGCTGATGAGTGGAAGCGCATGAGTAAGGTTCCATACGCCTCGGCAGTTGGTTCCATCATGTACGCCATGATATGTACTCGCCTAGATGTCTCATATGCTCTAAGTGTTGCGAGCAGGTACCAAGCGGATCCAGGAGAGAGTCACTGGACACTTGTTAAAAACATTCTTAAGTACTTGAGAAGGACTAAAGATGTGTTCCTAATCTATGGAGGTGAGGAGGAGCTCGTTGTAAATGGTTACACCGATGCTAGCTTCCAAACTGACACAGATGATTCACACTCTCAATCAGGTTTTGTGTTCACAATAAATGGTGGTGCTATTAGTTGGAAATGTTCCAAGCAGGAGACGGTGACCGATTCTATAGCAGAGGCTGAGTACATTGCAGCCTTTGGAGCTACGAAGGAAGGTGTTTGGATGAGGAGGTTCCTCATTGAACTTGGTGTGTTTCCGAATGCATCTAGCCCATTGAATCTACATTGTGACAACAATGGGGCAATTGGGTAGGCTAAGGAGCCAAGGAATCACCAAAAGAACAAACATGTACTGTGGAAATTTCATCTCATTTGAGAGTTCATTAGACGAGATGAGATCAAGATGTGCAAGATACACACAGATTTGAATGTTGCAGATCCTTTGACAAAGGCTCTTCCACAGCCTAAGCATGAGGCGCACATGAGAGCTATGGGTATTAGATATCTTTGAGATTAACTCTAATGCAAGTGGGAGATTGTTGGGAGTATGCCCTAGAGATAATCATAGAGATGATTATATTGCCTTGTATCCATGATATATTATGAGTTCATTGAATTTCCATTAAAGACAACCTGTATTGATTAGCAATTATGTGAATTGTTTGTGAAACTCTTTTACTTGTATGGTTATTCTAATGTTGTCCCTGGTCAGAGTTCATGTGAGGACACACATTGAATAATGAATCAGCACATTATTAGTTGATGACTATGTTTCACAAGTCATAGACATGAAGATGTCAAACTAATAATGTGGGCACATGTATGACATGGGGCTGGACTGACCCAACGTGAGATGTTGTTATTATCTCTATTCATATCATGTACGTTATGTCCTTAGACTTGAGATTGTTGTATGTATTCAAGATGTGAAACGACCTACTTAGGGACTATCAAACGCTACTCCGTAACATGGTAGTTATAAAGGTGGTTTTCGGGTTTGTCGAGAAACATACTATGAGACATAGACAATCAAGATGGAATTTGCCCCTCTCTATATGAGAGGGATATCACTGGATCACTCTAATGATTAGATCAAGAAATGCATGGCCATGCTTGGGTTAAGTGTTAACCTATACGTTGGACCAAATATCGTGAGGCAAGGGAATAACAAGTATGTGGTTTTGTGGTGGTTCGTCTGATATGATCTTTGCGTACGCATAGGAGTTGACATGCCTTGCTATAGGCCGCTATCAACAAATGGCCGAGTAGGAGTACTTGGGCCATGTCTATGTGTGTGTGAACCCATAGGGTCGCACGCTTAAGGGGCTGGAAGCCTAATTCAGATTGGATCCGAGTTAGACAAGGCTTAGGGTTACTAATGGGCCTCCAACTCGGGAACTCATTAGGGACGCCTATAAATAAGTGGGGTGGGCAACAGGGCTAGGGATTCCCCATGCCTTTTTGGCAGTAGCCGCCGCCGCCCATCCTACGCCCGCGCCTGCTGCTACTCGTGGACCTAGCAGTCCGGAGGCGCGACGCTTCCTCCCTATACGTGTGGATACCTTGGAGGTGCTACATCTGGAGCACAAGGACGAACCGCACGAAGGGGAAGGACGTACGGATGACCTCGCAACTACACGGCACTGCTACAACGCGTACGACTACATCTAGTCGCTTCCGCTGCACCTGCGTGTCTAGTGGTAATCCCGTGATCTATAACTAGCAGTAGATCCTGGCTTATGAGGTCAAATTTTTTGTTTTCCGGCTAGCGTAGCATCCTCATAACCCTACATAGTGCACCCTCGTGGAGCCCCCGAGCGACCTAGGCCAAAAGTGTTTGGGTCAGGGCGCTTTTATAGAAGCAAACGTTAAGTAAACAATGGTAAGACTGAATTTTAGCGGAAGAAATAACATAGCTGTTACAAGCGCTGGTGAGAACGTTGTCATTGTCGTCCTTCAATCGGTAGGCGTCCAATCGGATCACCTCAACCTTCAGTCGTCCGAATCCTTGCCCGCTATGCCCCCTTTCTTGGCGCAGCTTCTTCGCCTTTTTCTTCCTTTGGCCCACCGGCCTGTCGTAGAAGGCGCTTGAGGAGCTTGCAGTCCTTGTAGAGGTGTTTGATGGGGTAGGCGTGGTTGGTGCATGGGCTCTCCATGAGCTCATGGAAGTGGCCCGGAAGGTCCTATTGGGACTGCTTGCCCATGTGATCAGCCGTGGCGACCAACGCGGAATTGGTCGACCGGCGGCGATCTTTTCTATTCTTTTCCCCCTCTACGTGGAAGGGCCTCATCCTGATCCTGGCGCTTGGCCTTGCCTTTGCCTCGGCCTCCGTTGGAGTGCTACGGGAGCGGCGCTCTCTGGATGCCTCGGACAAAGGCCTGTGGTCCCGGTCCATCCGGGCTGGGACCTCGGGTGCTGATGACGCTGTGAGCGTCTTGGTTTGGCCTGAGCCGCTCGTGTATAGGTGGTCGGAGCGGAGCGGTCGCTAAGTCAAGATGAGGCGCAGATGTGGCCTCCTGTGCCGGGCTCGATGGCTATAGCGATGAGCGGGTGGAGTGATTCGTCTGGTGCGTCCCCACTCCCCTGGTGGGGAGAGAGGCCACGAGTCGGTGTCACGATGTGGAGCTCTCCGCCTGTTGAACGGCGGTGGTCTCCACTAGTGCCCGGAGGTTTCGGTTGATCGCCTATTCCTGGGGGTCGTTCGGCTCAGGAAGGCCGCGTAGAAGCATTACCGCAGCGGCGATGTTCTGATTGGCCTAAGTGAACTATGGGGGATCATTCCCCCTGTCCATGGTGTTGCGCTGGACCCAACGGGCGTGACCCGGGCGTCGCTCGCCGGTTTCTACGCAACGGAGCGTAGAGTGGGGCGCCGAGTGCACTAGAGCAGTCAGCGGCTGGTTCAGCCGCTATTATCGTAGCTCCTCGCCGTGCTCCCGTGTGAGCGCGGGGGTCTCCGGACGAGGGTCCGGAGGGGTGTGAGTCTGCAAGGACTCCGTTACCACTGGTGGCTGTCTCGGGGCATCTGCCATAGCGCACTCTCGGGACGGACGGTGGCTAGGCGCCACATCGCCAATGCTGGAGCCATCACTCTCAACATCGTCATTCATGGGGTCGAGGAAACAGGTGGGAGCATAGCTCGCCATCCCCATGAATTCGGACGTGAGAGGGGGTGGCGCTGGCATCCTTTGGAGCCCCCAGGCGTACGCGTTCGCGGGAGACGCGAGGCCGTAGGGGAACCGATCACATGGCGGTCGCAGCGGGGACAACGGGGTCCCTCCGGATAATCGACAGAAGATAGAGAATAGCAAGTAAATAACAGCATGTACATTACTCATAGCGGAGTTTGAGCAGAGAGTTTGCTCGGAATGAAGCGCAGATGCCTCGTCGTTGAAGTCGTCGTGCGTCCCGGAGCCGATGGAGGGCGGCCCTCCGACCGATGCCGGAACGAGTGCCTCCTCACAGAGGTGCAGCATGCCGAGCCGGTCGGCGATGAAGTCCAGGCTTCCAAAGAGGAAGGCCTAGGATGGCTCGAAGACGGGTGGAACCCACATCCCAACAGGTGGGAGTGCGGGAAACTCTAGTGAGCCGAAGCGAGTAGCATCACTTGAGCCCGCCATGGCGAAGGTGGCGGAAAAGTGGGCCATCTGATGACCAAAAAGTGTTGAACGTACATCGTCTTCCCCACGGACGACGCCAACCGTTGGTGCAGAAAGTGACGAACAAGTAAATATTTGTAGTTTTGTTGTATGTTGTGATCGGAGGTGGCCTAGCACTCAATGATATAGGGTTTATACTGGTTCAGGCAACGTGCCCTATGTCCAGTTTGAGTCAGTCAGTGACTTTATTCCTGAGCCCAGGTGCTCAAAGTTTGCAGTGGGGTTACAAAC